TGCCCAGGCGGGTCTCGAACCCGCGGACCTCAGGCAATTCACTCACCTCAGCCTCCCAAAAGCGCGGGATTACAGGCTGAGCCACCGAGCCCAGCAATAATTCTTTTTTTTGAGTCAGAGTTTCACTGTGTCGCCCAGGCTGGAGTGCAGTGGCACTATCACTGCCACGCAGCCTCAACCTGTTGGGCTCAAGCAATTCTTCCGCCTCAGCTTTCTAATTTTTTAATTTATTGTAGAGATGAGGTCTTGCCAAGTTGCTCATACTGGTCTCCAACCCTTGGGCTCTTGTAGTCTTCTAGACTCAGCCTCCCAAAGCTGGGATTAAAGGCACTAGGCCAAATAATTCTTTGTACCTTAATGTAATAGAAATGAATTATATTATTATAGACTTAATAAGTCGCTAATTACACTAATTCAGAAAAGCACAATCTTGCATATTATGAGAAGGAGGAGTAGAAGTGGAAGCTATAGGAAGTTCCATCGTTGGTTTTTGTGGGTTTATTACTGTGGTAGCCAGAGGAGGAGGAATTCAAAGGAAACCTGTGACTGTAGATGCTGTGCCATTAGCCCAATGTACGAACATGTGTCTGTGATCAAAGTTTGTTTGGTGGCAGTTTTCTTTGTACTTTTTAAAAATAACAAGTTTATGCTTATCACATTAAGACACACAAATGGAATCTTTATTATTTATAAAATATTTTTATATGTTGTGCATTCAGATGGCTGAAATTTGAAGAGGATGTTGAAGATGGCGGTGACCGATGGAGTAAACCCTATGTGGCAACTCTCTCTTTGCACAGTCTTTTTGAACTAAGGAGTTGCATCCTAAATGGAACAGTCATGCTGGATATGAGAGCAAGCACTCTAGATGAAATAGCAGGTTATAGTAAACAGACTTTAAAAAAATATTTAAGGTGTACTAAAATTAGAGATAATTCTAAATAAAGGAAGTGGATTTTCAGACATTCACAGAACTGAATGTTGAGCTTCTGTGCAGGGCAGTATGAGAAACAGACACATAAATAAGACTTTTTGTCTCTTCTAAGTTTGGAGACCAGAGAGTTAAATTAGACAGACATGATTGAAGTATCAGGAAGTGGGTGAGTAGTGCCGTAAGCAAATATGGAGTCTGTTTTCTGGAAATTCAGAAAAAAGAGTTTTTGTTCCCTTGTTTTTTGGACCAGGGATGTAGGGAAGATCCATAAAAGCCATTAATTGTATAAGTTATTAATAGAATTTGAGTACATGGGAACAAGGAGCAGGTGGCATAAGAGTAAGAAAGTATTTTAAGGAGGAGGAAGAGTAAAGCAAAAGTTGAGAAGCATAGACAGGTGTGAATCTCAGACAAGTTAGTTCCATGTGAGTACACAGGTCTCTGCAAAAGTAGTAGAGGAGATATGTTGGGAAAACAAGTTAGAGAAAGATTGCGACTACCTTTGAATTATTGGGTTAAGAAGTTAGATTATCTTTGGTGGGCCTTTTGATCTTGATGATTTTTAAGTTCAGGAATAGTGTGATTTGGGGTATGCTTCAGGGAGATCATTCTGGTGACAGAATGTAGGGTGACTTTGGATTAGGAAGAGGTAAGAAGTAGGTGGGCCAGTTATTCTCTTGGAATAGTCTAAGCAAGACATGATGATGATGTGAGTTCTGGTGAGTATAGTGATGAAAGCAAAGGAGAGAGATTTGAAAAAAATGTGGAGGCAGAAAGTGGGAACAGGCAGCTGTTATATAGATTTTAGCCACTAGCTAAAATTGCTAAAAACGAAAATCAAATTCAGTGGAGGTACATGTTATACTATAACTATCATTGTAGATTGTTCCCATGGAGAAAGCAAAAATCTGTAGTGTTTGATCTCTAAGAGAACCATACACTTATTAGAATTTCTTAGATTAGAAATGCTTGAATTATACCTGATTGCTAGATTTTACTATGTGCTGCGGATATTTAAATAGTCAACAAGGTCCTTACTTTCTTGTCTTACACAAATGACTAAAAAATTGAGTTAAAGTTAGGAATAATATTGCTTTTGGACATAAGAATCTTAGACTTTGGTTTTGCAGTTATCATGTAATACTATGTAATCCTTTAGTAAACATTGTATAGTCCAGTGTTCACTTATTTGGTAAATTGTAGCTGTTGTGTTAATGTTAGTTTACCTGTTAGGTTGGTCTCTCCGGTTTTTTTTTCTTTTGAGTTGGGTTTCACTTTGCTTCCTAGGCTGGAGTGCAGTAGCATAGTTACCTTCACTGCAGCCTCAACCTACTAGGCTTAGGTGATCCTTTTTGCCTCAGCCTTCTGAGTAGGTAGGACTACAGATGCACACTATCATGCTCAGCTAATTTTTTTTTTTTTTAAAAGAGGCAGTATCTCGCTATGTTGCCCAGGCTAATTTCCAACTCTTGGACTCGAGCAATTCTCTTGCCTCAGCCTACCAAGTGCTGGAATTATAGGCATGAGTCACTGTGCCCGGTTATGGTCTCTTAAAATTTTTTTAAGAGCAATCCTAACAGCTTTGAAAATTTGACTCGTCTTCCAAGTTAGTGACACTGTTTAAAAACATTTAATCATATTTTATGTGCTGAAAATAGTCTGGTCACCCAATAATGTGTAAAATGGCATTGTCATCAGTTTCCCATTCCCCACACTTCTCTCACAGCCTGATTTATTCCTCTTCCTAGAACTTATTACCTCATGTATTTTGCCTGTTTATTTATTTGTTGGTTTTTCTGCCTCTTGAAGATAGCAGAAACTTCCTCTGTTTTGTTAACTGCTATATTCCTAACAGTGGGCATTCAGTAAGTAGCAATTGAATGAGTGGGTACAGATGTTCATCTACTAGAACAGTTTTGGGGGAAAATATGAAGTGAGGCAATAAAATACATCTTAGGAAGCCAACATTCCTGAATATTCAGCTTAGTAGTATTTCTTGTATCCATACAGGAAAGCACTTTCACTATTAGCATATAACTGTACTTCTTTATAAATAATGGTATCTGTTAAAATAGAATAGTTTGTTCATTTCTGTTGGATGGTCAGTGTTCATATTTATCTTTTATGCATTGGCTATTTAATATTAAAAACAATGCTTTCTAGAGCTGTGTAAGGTTTTAATTTTTGTTTATGAGGTTTCACTTAATAGTTTATTTCTACATTATAGTTATTTAAGTACTTATCTAGTAACACCTTAATTTTTTCCTTTGAATAGATATGGTATTAGACAATATGATAGCCTCCGGCCAATTGGATGAGTCTATACGAGAGAATGTCAGAGAAGCTCTTCTGAAGAGACATCATCATCAGAATGAGAAAAGATTCACCAGTCGGATTCCCCTTGTTCGATCTTTTGCAGATATAGGCAAGAAACATTCTGACCCTCACTTGCTTGAAAGGAATGGTGAGATAAGTTGTAGCATCCAATTTTTGCTAACACTTCTACTGTAACAGCACTTCAGTATGTTACAATTAACATTTGGGAATATTTAGACAGTCATTATACCCAACCCTGAATTACTTCTCCTTCTTGCCTTTTTGTTGTTTCTGTTCAAGGTTTTTTGTTATATCATTGATTAAAGCATAAATTATGATCTATCATTATAGTTTAATCTTTTTAAAATTCTAAACTTAGGTTTGAACCTTTTCATTGGACTTTTTTCCTGATAATTTTTTTGTCTTAGTGTACTTCATTTGCTTGAATATATTTATTTGTGTTTTTGAGTTGACTTGCTGACTCTTTGTTTATACAATTTGTGAAAGGTTCTTAATATTTCTGTGTTACAGTAAGGGTAAGCTAGTTGATGTCTTTCTATCCATTGAGAATGGCTCATAATAGGGTCTGCGTATTCCAATTCCAGATTTCTACTTGTTCATAGACGAGTGGTAGGTTGTGTGAGATATAGGAAGACAGTGTTTTTGTAGCCATTTTCCTCTGTCAATGTCTTCAGGCTGGCACACTTGGATGTTTCCTTCTTTTTTTTTTGAGTTGGAGCCTCACTCTGTCACCCACGCTGAAGTGCAGTGGCATGCTCATGGCCACCGCAGCCTCTACCTGCAGGGTTCAGGTGATCTTTCCACTTCAGCCTTCCAAGTAGTTGAAACTACAGGCGCACACTGCCACACCCAGCTAATTTTTTTATTTATGGTAGAGACAAGGTCTCTTTCCCAGGCTGGTCTCAAACCCCTGGGTTCAAACAGCCCTCTCTCCTCCGAAACTGATGGGATTATAGGTGTGAGCCACTGTGCCCGGTTTGGAGGCTTTCCTTTTCTTGTTTCCTTCTGTCTAAAGCCGAGGAATACATCACTAGGGTTGAGAACTCTGATGACAATGCATTTGGAAAACCCAAGTGCAACGGATTGGAGTAACTTATGGAGGGTCACTGTCACCTTTAGCAGTTACCTCTAACTGTTACTATTACCCAAGTAGTATGAGGGCCACAGTGACGTGAGTAGAGTGAGGGACACAGTGTCGCTTTCTTTTTTATCCCTGAAATAACAGTATGGCTTTTAAGTGTTCTCCCAAGAAACAACCATAGATGATAGGGTTTAATACATCTAAAGATGACAATAATTATTTTTTGGAGCTCAGTGTGAGATACTTAATTTGATCACTTGGCCACTACCTTTTTAATCTGTTTAAAATTATGCCTTGGTGTATTTAAGGAATCTTAAGAATAAAAGGACATCTCTTTTGGCCTGAAGTTTAATTTAAAAGCAAGTCCTGCATGACACATTTTACCTTTTTTTCCATCTTTTATTTATTGCGTAGTCTCTACATTGGTGAAATGAGTTCATTTATCCAAAGGGAACCTATTAAATCCTATTCCTCATATGTAGTGGTCCTGATTATTCTCCAGCTGTTATTGGGTCATTATAAGCTAATGTCTGTTTTCTTTTAAATGCCATTTATTTATTTACTCATTTTTCAAGTTGGTGGTCTCACTCTGTTGCCCAGGCTAGAGTGCAGTGGCATGATCATGGCTCATAGTCTCAACTTCCTGGGTTCCGGTGATCCTTCTGACTCAGCCTTTCGAGTAGCTGGGACTACAGGTGTGTGCCACCATGATTGGTTCATTTTTTTTTTTTTTTTTTTTTTGAGGTGGTGCCGTACTCTGTTACCCAGGCTGGAAAGCAGTGGCAGGTTCATGGCCGCCACGGCCTTGACCTGCTGGGTTCAGGTGATCCTTCCACCTCAGTCTTCCAACTAGCTGGAATTACAGGTGTGCACTGCTAGATCCAGCTAATTTTATGATTTATTGTAGAGACAGGTCTCTCCAGCCTAGTCTCAAACCCCTCTGCTCAGGCAGTCCTCTTGCCTTCGCCTTCTGAAGTGCTGAAATTACAGGCATGAGCCACCATGCTCAGCTTAATTTTGATTATTATTTTTTTTTTTGTAGATGAGGTCTCTCTATATTGCCCAGGCTGGTCTCAAACTCCTGGGCTCAAGCAGTCCTCCTGCATCAGCCTCCTAAGGTGTTGATACTGCAGGCGTGGGCCACTGCATCCAGCCTAAATTCCATTTTATTATGCTTTTTTGCTACAGTTTAGCAGTTTTTCTGCATGTAGTTTATTTCTTTTAACTAAATAGTGTTTTTAAATGAAATTTTTTTTTAATGTTTCTGGAATCACTTGAGCATGTAACTTTGATTACTTAGGTCATGTGGAATTGATTATTATATTTCTCATGTTTTTCATAAAGAATGCTATTCTTTTTTATTTTTCAAATTTTTTTATTTGAGTCAGTGTCTCACTCTATGACCCAGGCTGAAGTGCAGTTGCACGTTTATGGCCACCCCAGTGTCGACCTGCTGGGCTCTGGCGATCCTTCTGCCTCAGTCTTCCAAGTAACTGGAACTACAAGGGCTCGCTACCATGCTCGGCTAATTTTTTGATTTGTTGTAGAGTTAAGGTCTCTCCATGTTGCCCAAGACCGGTCATGAACCCGCGGGCTCAGTCGTTCCTGTACCTTGGCCCCCCAAAGTGCTGGGATTACATACTTGAGCCACTGCGCCCAGCTGTTATAAATATTTAATATCAATTTTAAGTTAGAAATTATTAGGTACAGTTAACGTGGACTCTTTCTGTGAGAGGTAATTGGTTGTAGCTGTTTGGTAAAATGTAGGGAAACTACCCTAAATACAAGCTGTCAGTGCTGGCAATTTTTGTGTCTTAGATTATTTTTGTATTATATATTTTCCTTTACTGTTTCTTATTTAAGCAGCAGCTTTGTATTGATATTGTACTTTCTTAAGCCACCACACTGTTGGCCACTCTAAATTCTAACTGGGTATTACCCTCTACCATCTGTCATTAACATGGTTTTGTTTTCTTTTGTTTGGGGTTATGCCTTGCAGGGAACTAATTGCAGTTTTAAGCAACTTTTCAAGTTTCCAACATTTAAAAACCTGATTGACATGCTAACCCTGACAGCATGAACTTGAAATGTGGGGCCTTGAAAGCTTGCAGTTTACAGTGTGAATTGATTTTTGTGTCTCTGTTTGCCTTCTGCAGTAAACTTCATCATTTTTCATGTATTTGTTTTGTCTCAGGGGAAGGCCTTTCAGCCTCCCGTCACTCTTTGCGAACAGGTCTGTCTGCCTCAAACCTTTCATTGAGAGGAGAATCGCCTTTATCGCTTCTTCTCAGTCATCTTCTTCCTTCTTCAAGAGCTGGAACCCCTGCTGGCTCGAGGTGTACAACCCCAGTACCCACCCCTCAAAACAGTCCTCCTTCCAGCCCTAGCATCAGTCGCCTGACCTCCAGAAGTTCCCAGCAGAATCAGCTTCAGGCCCCAGAACTACTGGTTTCACCTGCCAGTGATGATATTCCCACAGTAGTAATTCATCCGCCTGAGGAAGACTTAGAAGCAATGAAAGGCCAGGAGCAGAAGAATGAGGAAAATGTTGACTTAACTCCAGGCAACTATCCACAATCCCCCCTGTGTGGTGCTTTCTGCCTCTGGACCACTTGCACTTGGAATGCCTTTCAGCACATAGCTTTAGCAGCATATGTAGATTATGCTTCTCATTTATTTTGACTTCTGCATGTTTTTTTTTCTTTATAGTATATTGTAGAAAAGCATAGAACTATTAAAACTTTAAGTTAAAGCAGACTGCACATGATTTAAAAATTTTAAGTGAGATTTTAGAGGTCAACACATTTGAGTGGCACAGAAAAATATAAACTTTAAAAAAAAAAGAATCGCTGTTTTAATTTGCCATGATTTTTTTTTTTAGAATGGTTTTTTCCTTGTGGAGTTCATTCATAAGGTGAATGAACACATGTACATACATTGTAATGAAGTGATGTGCCTTGCATCTATTTGATACTTTTCTCCAGAGAATGTAGTATGGTTTAGCCTTTTTAACCAGAGATAGGATTGGGGTTTTTTTTTTCCCCTCATTTTACCCTTGAGAAGATTGAAGTTCTCGCATGACTGGCTGCCTGGAATCATTATTTCAAGACTAGTATTTATACTTGAAAATAGACTATAGTTATTCTTGAAAGTTCACCTTGAAATTTTTAGGACCAGAGTTCCTGTAGTTGTAGCTAGAGCATATTTTGTTTGTGAATTAGAAAAAGATATTTCTTAGTGGATAAAAGGTTTCTAACTCATATTCTTTCAGATATACAAACTGTGGTCATTTGGTTCTCCTTTATAGGTACATTTATACACATATATTTTTTCACTTAAGTCATATAAGTATGTTAAGTGACTATTTTTTACTCCTGTTTTAGCTAAGTCTCAATGTGACAGATACTCATGCTAACTAGTTTGAATCATGTAAGTGTTACCACATTTCTCCAAAATACTGATAATATCTAATACTTCAGTGTTGGTTTAGTTGTTAAACTTACTGATTAAGTATGTATTCAAATTTGTTTAAGTTAGGTGGGTATACCCATTTTCAGAAACTTAGCTAAGTTCCCAACAGAGTCAGCTTCTTAGAAACATTAGTTAGTTAGTTGGGTCACACTAGTAAGCCTTAATTCCCTGACTACAAATCCATGTGTTCCTATCATGTGATGATCCTCTCTGTTGGCTTTATCCAAACACACCAGTTATCTTTAATCAAAGCTCATGGTAGCTGCAATAAAGAATATACGTTTAGAAGTATAAATGGAAGTTTTGTGGTTAAATTATTGTAGCATTAGTTATCATAGTAGTTATAGCCACTGTTGTTTTATAGTTTGTCCTGGACCCAGTGAGAGGTGCTTTTCTGTCTTTTTTTTCTATCTTTTTTTTTTTAAAGCATCAACTGTTAACCATTGTGCTTTTCTCATTTTAAAACAATTTGATGTGGTTGGTGTTATTCCTGTTTTACAGGAATTAAGACAAGACTTGGAGATGTTAAGATCATACTGTAAAAGACCTGAGCAGGGATTTGAGCTCAGGTCTACGTACAGCAAAATATATAGTAGACTATTTCGTTGTGAATTTTATTAGTTCATGAAAAAGATAAAATTTAAGAATGAGATAACAAGCCGAGCTCAGTGGCTCAGCCTGTAATCCCAACACTTTGGGCGGCTGAGGTGAGTGGATTGCCTGAGCCCACAGGTTTGAGACCTGCCTGGGCAACTTGGCAAGACCTTATCTCTACACTAAATCAAAAATTAGCCAGGCGTGGTAGCGCGCACCTGTAGTTCCAGCTACTTGGAAAGCTGAGGCGGAAGGATCGCCAGAGCCCAGCAGGTCGAGGCTGCGGTGGCCAGGAGCAGCCACTGCACTCCAGTCTGGGTGACAGAGTGAGACTCCAACTCAAAAAAAAAAAGAATGAGATAACTGAATATAAAGGAGAAAAAAAATGCTAGAAATAATTTAAAAGAACTAACAAGATTTATTATTTTTTCTTGAACAAAATGATTTTAAGGTTACTTTCTTCCATTTGTTTTTACCTATATTATATCAGTCTGCAACACTGAAGATTTCTTATATTGCCAGCTACCATGTTACAAATACTAAGGAACTATACATTTACATAGGAAGGAAGGGACAGATAGGTTCACACTAGTTTGTTAGACTTGTTAAGGTGATATAAATAGTAATTAACTGAGAATTAAGGAACATATTTTTTTCCCCATGAGTTTTTTTGTGATGAGATTTATCAGCCTTTCTGAAGAGCAGGAATTAGAGTGGAGGGAAGAGAAGGAATTTTTTTTTTTTGAATTGGAGTCTCACTCTGTTGCCCAGACTGAAGTGCAGTGACCACTCCCGGCCACCGCAGCCTCGACCTGCTGGGCTCCGGCGATCCTTCCACCTCAGCCTTCCGAGTAGCCGGAATTATAGGTGTGCGCTACCACGCCCGGCTGATTTTTTGATTTATTGTAGAGATGAGGTCTCGCCTGCCCAGGCGGGTCTCGAACCCGCGGGCTCAGGCAATCCACTCACCTCAGCCTCCCAAAGGCGCGGGATTACAGGCTGAGCCACCAAGCCCGGCTGAGAAGGAATTTTTAAAGACAAGAAAAAGCTCATAATTACTATTACAGAAGACATCTCTAGAAAGTATTTACTGAGGGAAAAAAATAGGTTCAGCTATACATTATTCCCTTTGTTGCTTCAAGCACCTGGAAACTCTGGTGGGGTTTCCTTGAAGTCTGATATTATCTTAGAGGAGGAAGATAGTCTCAGCACAATTTTGGAAAGACTAATGCCATAGATTTTCATGTCATAGAATTATTAATGCATACCCATTATAAAAAAGAAAGTGGTATTTCACAATAGTGTTTGGAGGATAATTCTGTGTAAAAGAGGTGAACTCATTTTTAATATTTGTTTCTCAGCCTTGGCACTATGGACATTTTGGACTGGATAATTCTTTGCTGGATAGTTGGGTAGGTGGGGCACTTCTGTGCTTTATAGGATGTTTGGCAGCATTCTTGGCCTCTGCCCACTAGCTACCGATAGCACCTTGCAGTTGTGGCAACCGAATAGGTCTCCAGACATTGCCATGTGTTTCTTGGTGGAGGAACCACTGTTTTAATTCTACTTCAGCTTTTAGTGACAGAAGACTCAAATGTCTTTGATATACCTTTCTCTAGTTAGATCTGCTACTTAAGAAAAAAATCTAAGTGCAAAATAATAGATTTACCAGAGTATGATTTTTAGACTTCTTATGTACATACTCATAACTTTTTTCTTTTTCTTTCTTTTTTTTTTAAAGTAGGATTTATTGAGAGGACAGAAAAGCTCCCACAGTGTGAGGGAACCCGAAGGGGTTGCCCTATTTTTTCTTTTTCTTAAAGCAAAGTAATATAGTCTATCTGTGCTAAAAATAGAGAGCTTTATTTTTTGTTTATCTACTCATTTAATTCTGAGTGCCAGGAATTTATTATAGGAGCAGGAAGAAAACAGCTTTAACTTGCCTGAGGTTGGGAAGGACTACACAAAGACAGTGATGGTGCTAAACTCTAGGATGCACCCGGCATGCCAATTTTGGAAATGGGACAGATTCAAAATGATCAGATTAGCCAGGTGACTTCAGGTCATTCCTTCTAGCTTTGTCAGTATTGAGTTCTACATCATTTTTTCTGTCCACTGCTACCATATTCTTTTCCCCATAGCCTTCTCCTTATTCCACTCTTCTCCCTCAATAGCTGGGACTCTTCTGGAAAACTGTGTATTGTGTATCCTTTTGATTATGCATCCACAGGTTGAATACATTTAGCTGTTGGAAGTGTGTAATGCTCAGTTGCAGTTGCCACCACGGCTTAATGGTATTTTTGATTTTCATGTGTGGAAGTAGTTGGAAGACACTAAAAAATACTGCTTAGCTTTTTTCTCTCTTGGGCAAAGAAGGGACTTCTTTTCTGGAAGTTTAGGGACAAAGGTCAGAAAAGAGGGATCTTAGTAACTTTTCCATGCTAAGCTAACATTGTGAAAGATGAGTTAAGACTTAGCAAATAGTTTTTATTTCAGAATTGTTTTTGTTTTTTTCTGGCTACCATTTCCCTTCTGCCATAAGTGACAGCATCCTGAGGTTTTTACTAGATGCGCTATCTTTTTTAATCAGCAGAACCATGAGCCTTTATTTCAGAATTGTTAAACTTTTCCAGAGAATGAGCATATGGCTAAATAGATTGCAAATTAAGGTGTTTGGGTCACTCTGGCATCCTAGTTTAGGTATTTAACAGAGAAGTAAGTATCACAGCCATCTTCTATCAGTTGAGTTTAAGCAATAAGCCCAAATGGTTTAGCTTCAATATACTGTTAGGTATAGTGTGTTCTGTTCTGAAGAAATGAAAACTTCTTTGGCTGTATCAAGTCTATCTGATGTGCTTAAAATCCTGGAGCTTGATTACCAATATGAATTTCAAAGTTTGTAGAATCTGACCACAAAACATGTTAGCTGAATTTCCATGGGCCACTAGATTGCTGTGAACAGCACACCTAAAACTAAAAGTAAAGTCTATTATATTTGAGTACCTTTTACCCCTACAATATTCAGTGTTTATAGGTGTTATGAGTCGGACTAATAATTATTGGACTAGAGAACCTTTGATTTTTTGAAAAAAATAAGATGTATTTAATAGTATAAATCTGTGTAATAAACTTGAATTTTAAAGCTTTGAGATTTAAACATTTTGCGGAATTAGAGTTCATAGTGTTAATAATTGGCCATATAATAATGAATGTTTTTATTAAGGTTATTTTGTTGTTGTGAAATTGTTGTTGAATATCACTTGAAATGAATATATTTGTGCTAGAATGTATATCTATTATTCGTGATCCAAACAACTGTCATTTCTAATCCAAGCTATTTTTATGGGTTTGTCTGGATTGTAGGGGTTAAGTGAGTTTTTTACTTCAAGTCATATAGATTAAAAAGTGGCAGGGAATGCATATTTGAACACAGATTTTGATTATAAAACACTCTTTGCACTTATGTTGTAAAAAATGTGCATACTATATTTAAGTTACATTTCTTAGAAATAATTACAGCAGGGATTATAGGCATAAATACTATCAAAGAAAAATCAAATATTTTGAGGAACCCTATGATCACGGAAGATTGTTAATTCAACCTATACTTAATTGTTTCTGAGTTACACTTAGGGTTTGTCAGACAATTTATATCTTTGTTGGTGCAAGCGTGCCAAGTGTAGTTAGGCATCATGAAGCTCTATGCAATTCATGTGTATATGATATATTGAATGTGTATTCTCTAAATACTTGTAATGGTGATCAGACTCAGGTCTTCCATCTTTTGTGGTTCTACACCAACACACTTGTTTTTCTTTTCGCAAAAGGCCACCATTTTCATAAATTTCATTTGTATTATTTTACATATTAAAATGTGTGACTTTGTTATTGCTTAAAATGTTATTCTAGTTTTTGCTGGTATGTTACTAACACCTGGCACTTTTTTTTTTTAACCTTGCACATTTGCTTTTATAATAAACCATCACTTTCAGGATATGAGCAGAGTCAGGCTACAAAATGAATTTTCTCCTTACTAATTTGGAATTTGTCTTTTATCACAGGTATTTTGGCCTCTCCACAGTCTGCTCCTGGAAACTTGGACAATAGTAAAGGTGGAGAAATTAAAGGTAATGGAAGTGGAGGAAGCAGAGAAAATAGTACTGTTGACTTCAGCAAGGTAATTCTGTCATCAACTATATATTTTCATAATTATTCTTATTGGGAAAATACGTAGCAATTTGTGACTTTATTTTAACATTAGTTATAGTAATTTTTTAGTTGAGTAGTGCTTACAAATCTGCATGTGATGCCTGTGATATGTTAATTTATGGTAAGAAATTGTGAGAAGGGTTATTACAGTTAACCTTTGAGTAATTGAATAACTTTACTTGTTTACTACTTTTAGAAATTCTGAAAAAGAATGTGCGAATAATACAGTATTTCCATCCGTGTCTACCTGTAGATATGACAATTTAATACCTTTTGAACTACAGTCATTTGTTCTGGAGCTGCCACCACTAGAAAGGTTAATTCTGGGAATGATGTTATAGCACTAGCCATTCAGCCTTTCCTGGGCTGTAATGAGATCGCAGAATTACTATGTTATGGTGTCAGTACTTTGTGGAATGCCACTGGAAAACATATCAGTGCTTCCCTATGGGTAGCCATAGATAAAGACATGGATTAAAAGAAAGAAAAACAAAAATATCTCAACTATGATTTTTTTATGTTGATAAATGAGTATTTAGTCGAAATAAGTTAAAAAATTATTTAAAAAGAACAGGGAAAAACTTAACTGCATTAAAGTTCAAATTACAAACTTCTTATATGAATAAGGGATTTCTTGTAGCCATTGTCATTTTAAATACTATTTGCTGAAGAATTTTTCTCATGATACTTTAATTTTGCATTCAGTGTAAGACTGTTAAATGTGATTATGTCAAGCAAGATTTTGTTTTCTTAAGCCTTTTATTGTATGATGCAAAGTCTACAAGTCACATTTTATAGAAAAGTAGTTTAAATGACTTGCGTTATCGTTTTTGCTGAGCTTCATTCTTTAAAATTACAGAAATTCTTATATTGGGGCATTGGCTATACAGAAAGGCTATAGTACTTCTAATTTTTCTATTTTAACATGATCATATTTTACTGGTGCTCATATATCAGATAGTGCAAAGTGTTCAGTAACTAAGTTGAAATTTATACCATTAAATGAATAAATTAATATAATTTACATGATAAATCTCCTCTAGACATGGCAGTTGCCGTTTATTTTTGTTCCTCTGTCACAGTTTTACTTTTTTTTACTTGGCCTCTCCTTGTGTACACCTCCTTGTCTGCTGTCGTGCAGGAGTCTGCCTCCTGGCACTGTAGTTGTGGCACACTGGGTGTGGGACTCAAGAGGCCCGCCGTAAGTGCTGGTTTTACTGTTATTAGATAGCCCTGTAAGTGGTTGTTTAGTGACTTGTGTGGAACTGCATATAAATGAAGAGCTTCACATACTTGGTATCATGTTTGTAACCTTTTCCTTGTAATTATACACAGAACACTGAATTTCACTATTATAGCATTATTATATGTCCATGCCAATAAGGGCTGTTGGTTTTAGTTTTAAATAAACATGATTTTTTTCCCCAACTTAATGAAAATACTGGAGAATGCCCAGAGTTGTTTATTTTTTCTTTGAAGGGGGATTTTAAAAGAATATATATATAAAATGAAAGGGAGCTAATTCATTTCTAAGATTAAATTATAGAAAATCATGAAAAGAATATTTTTAGCACTGTGTATAATTTCATGAATCGTTGTTAGTTTTGTGAACTATACATTTGTCCTTACTAGCTTTTAATGAATAGTGAACATTTTTCTTGTTTGTTTGATAATTGAAGTAGTTGTTTAAATTTGTTGTTGATTACTCTGAAGTAGTAAAGATTGTGACAGGTAAAAACAGTAGTATTGATAAAAATGTGTTCTGCTTGCTTTTTTGTAATTGTCTACCCCATTCTTTATATTTGTGAAAATGTTGGCATTTTACATAGTCCTTAGATCTCAAGTTTTGATTAGCGAGTAGTAGTCTTAAAAAAGCCTTTTCCCCCATTTCCATCTACATAGTGTTATAAATACCATGCAAATTTTATTTTTATTATTATTTACTTGTCAATAGGTTGACATGAATTTCATGAGAAAAATTCCCACGGGAGCCGAGGCATCCAACGTTCTTGTGGGGGAAGTGGACTTTCTGGAAAGGCCAATAATTGCGTTTGTGAGACTGGCTCCCGCCGTCCTCCTCACGGGGTTGACTGAGGTCCCTGTTCCTACCAGGTAAAGGTATAATTCCAAATGACAGTATTTCGGCATATTCGAGATCTGAACATTTTAATCTGCGGAACCAGTGAGCATGTTGTTTTATATAATAAGAGCTCATTTTAATTGTTCATTCGACCATTGTGCCAAATTCTTTGAATATTAAAGGAGTTGTTTTTATTTCCTTTCTTTATTTTTTACTTAGAACTTAAAAATAAAAGAAATATCATCCTCTTGAGAACTATTTTGCATTTGTGTCTTCATGAGAAGTTTGGTATTTTAGGAACTTTGGTTTCAAAAACAACTTATCATTTTACACGTATTCTCTTGTGTCCTGTCCAGGCAGTGGAGTCAGAGAATGTAACTGAGTCTTTTCTCTGCTGCTTATTTTTTGTGGGAGTGGGAACAAGTCTGACTTGAATTTTCTAAGTTTCATTTGAAAGATGAGGATAATCCCTCACAGAGTTGATTAAATGTAATAATACTACCTTTGAATTAGGCATACTGCTTCTTTTTTTCTGGTCTGACCAAGATTTTCTATTCAGTATACATTATAAGTAAAAATTAAATTTGGGGGAATATCCATAATAATAGTTAGCAAGTTGTGTTAAAAAGAGTAGTTTGCTGCTCTTGATGGAAGAAACTTAATTGTAAATGAGAATAATTATTTAAAAATTTCGATTATTTTGTATAATATATATAAATGAATATGAATAATTAATAGGCGTTTTATAGAAATGTACTTTATTTTTGTTATTATTTTTTGAGACGGAGTCTCACTGTTGAGTCTCACTGAGAGTGCAGTGGCACGCTCATGGTTACCACAACCTCAACCCACTGGGCTCAGGCAGTCCTTTCACCTCAGCCTTCCAAGTAACTGCGACCACAAATTAGCTGGGAGTGGTAGCACGTGCCTGTAATCCCAGCTACTTGGAAGGTTGAGGTGGAAGGATTGCCTGAGTCCAGCAGGTAGAGACTGTCGTAGCCATGACTGTGCATTCCAGCCTGGCCCACAGAGCAAGATTCTGACTTAAAGAAAAGGAAGATGGGAACTTTTTATGTAAAACATCTAGTTGCTGTTTTATCCTAAGGAAGATGTGCAGTGATAATTTGGTGGAATGACTTTTTTAGTTTTGTGATATGCTTAAGTCTGATTGCAGTTGTCGTTTTCGGGGATTAATGTGGGAAAATGAAAAAGGGATCTGAGAGTTGTTTCTGTGTTTACATTTCTTTTTAATCATTGCCTGGACTTGTGTATATATGTTGTTCATTTTACAATCTGTGTATTTGAATGTTTCCTTAGGTTTTTGTTTCTGTTATTGGGTCCAGCAGGCAAGGCACCACAGTATCATGAAATTGGAAGATCAATAGCCACTCTTATGACTGATGAGGTAAGTAAAACACTAAAATCGCTTTGAGGTAGACACTGGTTATGATGCATATAATATATGTTAAGTTATATGTTATATATTATTAAAGTTCTTTGTTAAGTCCTTTCTCTCATTGTGAAGCTTAAAAATTATCCTTGCTGTCTGTACTATTTTATGTTGTGTTCACTCCTCAACTCTTTGCTTTGGTAAGGTTCTTTTTTTTTTTTTTGGGTTGGAGTCTCACTCTGTTGCCAAGGCTGGAGTCCAGTGGTATACTCATGGCCGGTATACTCATGGCCATCGCAGCCCTGACCTGCTGGGCTTAGGTGATCCTTCCGCCTCAGCCTTCCAAGTAACTGGAACGACAGGCATGTGCCACCCTGCCTGTCTAATTTTTCTTGATTTATTGTAGAGATGAGATCTCACCAAATTGTCCAGGCTGGTCTTGAACCCATGGGCTCAGGCAGTCTGCTCACCTTGGCCTCCCAAAGTGCTGGGATTATAGGCGTGAGCCACCACTCCCAGCCTGGTAAGGTCTTTAAGGTCTTTTTATTGAGATTGGTCGGTACTTTTAATCTTCTGTTTTTGTTTTAAAAATTTGAAATCATCAACCACCTTCTTGAAATTTTTTCCATCATAGACTTCAGAATATGCTTCTTTTGGTTTTCCTTAATACTTTTTTTTTCTAAATTTCTGTCTCCCATTTGGGACCTGATCTTTGACTGTGGCCTACATATTGTGTGATCAGGACTTTTGTTTTTCTTTGGAAGAGAGATTTGTATCACATTCTTGCTCGTCATCTCTGTCATGTGTCCTTAGGGCATTCGAAATGCCACATATCTGAACCTGACCTCATTTCTGTTTCAGACTGTTTACCTTCAGTGTGTCTTGCATTGTATCTGTCATATCCTTTCCAGCACCACTGTCATTTCTCTGGCTTAGACTCTCTTATTTTTTTCTTTTTTCTTGAAGTTTTTTTTTTTTGAATCTGAGTGTCACTCTGTCGTCCAGGCTGTATGATCACAGCTCACCATAACCTCAACCTCCTGGGCGATCCTTTCGCCCCAGCTTCCTGAGTAGCTCAGCCTCCCCAGTGGCATGAGCCACCACATTCAGCCTCTTAGATTTTCTTTATCAGTTCAAGTAGCCTTTATGGGTCTTCGTTTTACAAGCTTTCCCACCACACTGCCAGTAAAATACAAATTTGAATATGTATCGTTTCCTTGCTCCAAAGTATCAGTGACTTATTATATGTTTCGTTTTAATTTAAACTCTTTACCATTGTCTTAATAGGTCCTTCTTGAGTTATCCTTTGCTTACTTCTCAAAGCTTACATGCTAATGCTGCTAACCCCTCCTCTCCTGCTTTGCTCTGGCCATATTAGCTTCCTTTTTGTTCCTCAGATTTGTTATGCTCATTTCCGAGGACACTTACCGGATTTTTGTAGACATTTACAGTTGCTAGTCTTGCTGTACTTTTCTGCTGCTCTCACCCCACCCTACCCGACCCTTTGCATGGGTTTGTTCCTCATTTTGTTCAGAGTTTTCTTAAGAATTATCTTCTCTAAGACACCTTTCCTGGCCACTTTGTTCTTTCTCATCAGATTTGTTTTTTGTATCTTCCGATATTGTTATCAGAGCATTTATCATTGCCTACAGTTGAATATTCATTTAATTACTCGGTCACTGTCTTTTCCCCCAGAAAAAGTGTTCTTGCGTACAGCGACCTTGCCTTACCTGTTTCCATGCATTAGCCACAGTGCTTAGAACTGTGTCTAGCAAATAGTTAACTGGTAAATAATTTGTTATTAATTAAATTATTTAAGTAAAACTGTTTTCTTATCCATGATTATTTTCTTAGGATAAATGACGTTTGGATGTCATAGAAGTTAATGACATGCCACAGTATTTTCTGATGAATTACAGAGTATTTCCCATGCAAAATTGTCTTTGTAAAAAATTGTCCCGTCTTAACACATCACTGTTTTCTTTCATTGTTTATTACTGTCAATTCATCTGATAATACTGAGTGTTACCTAGAATAAAAGTTTAGTTGACTATTGTGAACATATTTATGGTCTCCAAAGTAGATTTACTATGTGTAGAATTTTCTTTCAACTTAAAAATTTTTTTACTCGTTATGTTTTTTCTTTAGGTTTTCCATGATGTAGCTTATAAAGCAAAAGACAGAAATGACCTCTTATCTGGAATCGATGAATTTTTAGATCAAGTTACTGTCCTACCTCCAGGAGAGTGGGATCCTTCTATTCGCATAGAGCCACCAAAAAGTGTTCCTTCTCAGGTAAGAATCTGGATTCTGAGCTATTCTTCTTGAGTTACCTTTTTAAAGTTAAAAGTCATTTGAATAGGTTGTATCATTTGACGATTCGTAAATCAAGACTATGTCAAGAGGTGTATCCTAAGAAGTTGTACTCCCAGCTTCTCCCTGTTACCTTCTTAACCCTGTACCCACCTCCTATGGGTGACCGACCGTTTGTTGTGGTTTTTGTTTATCCTTGGCAGTTTTTATTCAGTACATGGAAATGTGAAAATGTAGTATAGTCTCGTACCAAATGTTAACATATTATACATACTGTTCTGCACCTTGCTTTTTTCATATAGCAGTATATCCTGGAAATCTGATCATAAATCATGACAACGTTCCTTACTCTTTATTTCACAGCTGTGCTGTATTCCACTTATTTTATTTCTGGGCTCTGGTATTTTCAGTCTTCTGCTATTACAAACCATGCCATGGTCCTCATATGGCATTTTTGTCTTGTACAGCTATGTCTAGAATTAATCCCAAAAGTTGAATTGGTTGACTCAGTGGGGAATTAATTTATAATTTTGGGAGCTATTACTAGAATTACTCTATCAGCTTGACTTATTTAGGACTTCCACAGTTATGCATGAGAGTACCTATTTCCTTATATCCTGCTAGTATAGTGTGTTGCCAAACTGTTGTGTATTTGCACATTTGATAGCTATCTTGATTTTGCTATTTGAAACTATTTTAATGGGGTTTTAATTTGCATTTTTGTAATTAGCATGAATATTCTTAATTATCTTTTGTGCATTGCCCCTACAACCTTTTTTTTTTTGAGTTGGAGTCTCACTCGGTCGCCCAGACTGGAGTGCAGTGGCCGCTCCCGGCCACCGCAGCCTCGACCTGCTGGGCTCCGGCAATCCTTCCACCTCAGCCTTCCAAGTAGCCGGAATTACAGGCATGTGCCACCACGCCCGGCTGATTTTTTTTGATTTATTGTAGAGATGAGGTCTCGCTGCCCAGGCGGGTCTCAAACCCTCGGGCTCAGGCAATCCACTCACCTCAGCCTCCCAAAGGCGCGGGATTACAGGCTGAGCCACCGAGCCTGGCTAAACCTTTTTTTTTAAAACATTTAAATTGTTTATCAATCCTTTGTAGTTTGTCATAGTGTATATTCCGTGAGTATACATCTAACTTTATCTTTTTTCCAAATTGCTGCCTGGTTGTCCCAGCTCATTAAAAAGCTAAGCATTGCTCCCTTTGACTCATTAACTAAATTTCCATCTGTATTCAGGTCTGTGTCTGGAATTTGTTTTATTTTCCATTGGTTTGTCTATTCATGGACCAATTCCACACTCTAATTTTTGAGACTTTTTGGTATATTTTAGTGTCTGGTAGATCTGGACTTGTTCTTATTCCTTTTCACTCTTGTATTTTTCTTATTCCTTTTCACTCTTGTATTTCTGAGTTTTCTTGACTGTCTTTTCATATTTATTTTTCTATGTAAGCTTTAAAATCATCTATTTCCATAAGTTAAACCCGATGGTTTTAAAAAAGTTGTGATGACAATTACATTTCTCAAATAAACTGAGGGTTAATTGACATCTTCATGACATTGAATCTTTCTTTTCAAGAAAGTGGTATATCTTTCCCCAGTTGGTTTTCTGTTTCAAGTCGATTTTTGTATCCTTAAGGAATTTTATCAAAATTTCCTTATCTATAATTTATATGCTTTTGATGAGTGTATTCATGATTTTTGTATCTTCATCTGTTTGTCACTTTTATATGTATATGAAGACTGTTATTTTATATACATGTATATATACACATAATTGACCCTTGAACAATACAAGTTTAATTGAGTGGGTTCAATTATGTGTGCATTTTTTCCAATAAATACATTGCAGTGTTTTTTGGAGATTTGTGATAATTTGAAAAATTTCACATATAAGCCACTCAACCTAGAAATATTGAAAAACTAATATAGAGTTAACTTTATCATGAATGCATAAAATATATGTAGGTACTAGTCTATTTATCATCTACAACCATAAAATATACACATCTACTACAGAAAAGCTGAAATTTATCCAAGCTTATGCACACAAGCACAGACCATACATTGTACCAATTGTAGTGTAGATATGTGTCAAAAAGGCAAAGATGTAATTTTAAATCATAATTGCTTAAAATTAACTGGAATGTGTACTGTACTACTGTAATAATTGCGTAGTGACCTCCTGTTGCTGTTGTGATGAGCTCAAGTGTTGCAGGTTTCTGCTTAGAATGCTGGGTGATGCTCATCATCTCCATGTGAGCAGTTTGTCTCTCCAGTAAATTGCATTTTACAGTGAAAAGTGATCTCACAGTTCTCCAGTGTCTTTCATCATGTTTAGTCCAGTACTGTAAACTTTCAGTGACACCACAGGACCCGTACGAGCTCCCACTAGTGATGCTGGAAGTGCTCCCAAGAAACAGAGAAAAGTCATACCTTACGATAAAAAGCTGAATTGCTTAGTATGTACTGTAGATTGAGGTCTGTAATTGCTTGCTATTTCAAGATGGATGAATCACCTGTAAAGACCATTATAAAAAAACAAAGGGATGTTTGTGAAGCTGTCGTTGCAGCTATGCCACAAGGCGTGAAACCTTGTACTTTTTTCTAAAATACCTTTTTAACTCATAATGAAAATGTAGCTTTTTTGTGGGTGCAGGATTGCTATAAGAAAAGCATACCTGTAGGCCCTAATATGATTTGAGAAAAAAATAAAGACATTTTATGACAACTTAAAGCAAAAGGAAGGTGAAAGATCTAAAACTGGGAATTCAGTGCCAGCAAAGGATTATTTGGTGACTTTAGAAGGAGGGTTGACTTCTAAAATGACTCATGCCTGTGATCCCAGCCCTTTGGGAGGCCTAAGCAGGAGGACTGCTTGAGCCCGTGAGTTTGAGACCAACCTAGTCAACACACAGAGACCTTGTCTCTACAAAAAGTAAAAATGTTAGCTGGGTATGGTAGCATACACCTGTAGTCTCAGTTACTTAGAGACTGAGTTGGAAGGATTGCTTGAGCCCAGGAGATCAGGGCTGCCATGAGTGTGCCACTGCACTCCAGCCTGGGTGACAGAGTGAGACTTCCACTTCAAAAAAAAGAAAGAAAAAATCATTAAGGAGAAGGGATAGCTTCTTGAATAGTTTTTAATGGCATGTCTTTCCCCAGTTGATTTTCCAGATGAAAGTGCTATAAAGGACATTCTAAAATTTGTGTCCAGGTCTCCCTCTGTTGCCTAGACTGGAGTGCAGTCTCACAATCATGGCTCATCACAGCCTTGACCTCTGGGGCCCAGGCAGTCCTTCTGCCTCAGCCTCCTGAAAGTAGTGGGGACCACAAGCACATGTCACCATGTCTGGCTTGTTTGCTTGCTTATTTATTTATTTGTTTAGTGACAAGGTCTTGCTATGTTGCCTAGGCTGGTCTTGGAACTTAGGAGCTCAAGGAGTCCTCCCACCTTGGTCTCCAAAGTGCTGGGCTTCCTGGCGTGAGCCACTGTACCTAGCCCAAGTCCAAAGGATATTATTAGTAAGGAGGAAGCAAGTACCAGAATTTAAGGCAGGAGGGGATAGGCTAACTTTATTGTTTTTTTGCAAAGGCAGTTAGGATTACCCTTGTCATAAAGTTGCCAATCCTTGGGCCTTGATGACAAAAGGTAAATACCAGCTTCCAGTCATTTGGTTGTACGTACAATAGGAAGGCCTGGATGAGAATAGTTTTTCTGAATTGGTTTTATCAATGCTTTGTTCTTGAAGTCAGAAAGTGTATCCTACCAGTAAGGGATTGCCTTTTAAACTTCTTTACTATTGGCCAATGCCCTTGGTCACCTGAAACCTCGTGAGTTCATCACTGAAGGTATAAAAGCAGTCTGCTTGTCTCCAGTTATGGTGTCTCTAAATCAGGGGGTTACAGACCTTTAAGGCTCATTACACAGGATGCTCTATGAAAAGAATTGTCGATGCTGTGGAAGAGAACCATGTCTGGAAGGATGATACTATTGAAGATGCTATCATTGTTATAGGAAAAGTCAGGAAAGCCATCAAGCCTGAGACAGTAAATCCTGCTTGGTGAAAACCGTATCCTGAGTCACTGTAGGAAATCATGAAAGAGATTGTGGATATGGCAGAAAGGGGGTAGAGTGAAGGACTTTGAGATCTGGATCTGAGCGAAATTCATGAGCTAAGATGTCAGCACACCAGAGGAATTAATAGAAGACGAGTTGATAGAGATGAGTACTTCTTAAACAATACTAGACAGTAAAGAAGAAGACCTAGAAGAAGCAGTGCTAAAAACCAAGTGGGCATTGATGATCTGGCAGATGGGTTCCGGTTTTTCAAGACTGCTTTTGACTTCTTTTGCAACATGGATCTTTCTGTGATATGTACGGGCACTGAAGCTAAAGCAAACGAGGATTGATAATCTTATAGAAACACTTTTAGAGAAATCAGAAGCCAAAAAGACAGAAATTGCTGTGTATTTCTATCATACACAGAATGTGCCTGCCTCTCCATTCTTGCCTCTGCCTCCCCTTGTTCCTCCTCCACCTCTGCCTTCTCTGCAACAGCAAGACCAAATCTTGTTCCTCCACGTATTAAACATGAAGATGATGAGGATGAAGACCTTATGTTGCTATACTTCTACTTAATGAAGAGTAGATGTATTTTGTCTCTTGATTTTCTTAATAGCATTGTATTTTCTTTGCTTACTTTATTGTAAAAACGTAGATAATGCATAACCATAGAAAATGTGTTAATTGACTTATTAATAAGACTTCTAGGCCAGGCTCAGTGACCCAACCTGTAATCCCAGCACTTTGGTAGGCCGAGGCGAGTGGATTGCCTGACCCCGTGGGTTCGAGACCCACCTGGGCAACTTGATGAGTCCTCATCTCTACAGTAAATAAAAACTTAGCAGGGCATGGTAGCGTGCACCTGTAGTTCCAGCTACTTGGAAGGCTGAGGCATAAGGATCGCTGGAGCCCAGGAGATTGATGCTGGGGTGGACGTGAGCCTGCCACTGCACTTGCAGCCTGGGCGATGGAGTAAGACTCTAACTCAAAAAAAAGACTCTATTAGTAGTTAAGTTTTGGGGAAGTCAAAAGTTATACATAGATTTTTGATTGTGTGGGGGATTGGCACCCCCAACTCCCTCATTGCTCAAGTGTCAACTGTGTATTTTTTATTCTGCTACCTTTAATTGTACTGACTAAAATCCCTAGTACAGTGTTAAGTAGGATGGGCTTTAAATAGGCATTTCTTATTTCTGACCGTTATCAGTATTTCTAAGTGTCTCTAGTATTTCTCCCATTAAGTAAGATAATTACATTGGGCCTAAAATATACATTTTATCATTTTAAGGACATACTATAATATCTGTTACTGAAATTTTTAATATAAATGAATGTTGAATTTTATCACGTCTTTTGAACATCTCTTGTGATGGTTATATGAATTTTATACATCAGTTATTATGGTAAATCTTATTACTAAATATCTCAGTATGAAATGCTCTTGCATTCCTGAAGTCAACCTGGTTATTTGAACTTTATATGCTAGTGGTCTATGCTTTTATTTGTTCGCATCACTTTTATAGGTAGTTTGGTCCTTAGATATTTGTGCCATCTTCATGTTTTGATATCATCAGTATACTTATTTAAAAAAAACCAAATGTATAGGTTTCCTTTTTCTGTGTTATTAATTAAACAGTTTAAATGGTATGAAATGTTTTGCTTTTAAAAGCCTAGGAGAATTCTTTTGTAAAGTTTTTTTTTTTTAGCTTGATTCTTTTTGTCATATGGTAGACTTGAAAAATTTGCTTATTTCTTCTTTGGAAATTGGCTTGTATGAGCTTTCTATTTTTTCTGGGGTCAGTTTTGGTAAATTATATGTTCCTAGGAAGTTACATATTTCCCTCTTTTTCTTCAGTTTTTCTGATGGTTTAAAAACCTTTATCTAGGTTTTAAATTTCCATAAAGTCATATAATGCATGTGTATGTATATATAATTTGCTCAGTTTGTGATAGAAACTATTGCCTCCTTGTCATTATTTTGTGTATTAACTAGTGGTCTGTATTTTTTAAACAGCAACCTTGAAAATTTGTTCTTTTTAAAAAAAAAAATGTGTTTTATTCTTTTTTAGTTTCTTCTTTTAGCTGTTTTATTTCATTTCTTTCACTTTCCTTCAGGAAAGATTTTTGTTTTTGTATTTTCTGAGTTGTATATTTAATTCATTATTTTCTACTTCAATCTTTTAAAACATAATTAATTGGGTAATTTTCTTGGATGTTCCTTTAGCTAGATCTCATAGATTAATATGTATCTTTCCCATTATTTTTGCTGTTTTGTTTTCACTTTTCTCTTTACGATATGTAAGTTTTTTTTTTGTTTTTTTTTTGGAGTTGGAGTCTCACTCTGTTGCCCAGACTGGAGTGCAGTGGCCGCTCCCGGCCACCGCAGCCTCAACCTGCTGGGCTCCGGCGATCCTTCCTCCTCAGCCTTCCAAGTAGCCGGAATTACAGGCATGCGCTACCACGCCCGGCTGATTTTTTGATTTATTGTAGAGATGAGGTCTCGCTGCCCAGGCGG